AAATTCTTTTGGCTCACCAATGATAGCAGGATAAAAATTTGGATGAATGATTTACTAATGTGTTCAGAGGATAAAATGTACCATACTGTGAATCTTCCTTTTTCCCCACTCCTGGTTATTGAAACAAGACCCAAATTGGGACTCGTATTGAAACGCTTAGTTTTCAAAATAGTCTACCTTACATTAAAAGGGGTCAGGTGCATTATATATTACTTCTCTACACTTAAATTGCAATCAACTTTAATGTTTGTTATCATGCAGTGTTGTTGTCACCATGTCAGTCCCAGGATATCAGAAGGACAAGATAGATGAGGTAATATTTTTTATTGGACCAACCTCTGTTGGTGAGAGAGAGACAAGCTTTCAAACTACATAGAGCTCTTCCTCAGGTTTGGGAAAGGTACTCTAAGTGTCACAGCTAAATACAAGGTCGAACTGACAGGTTAGCTTAAATAGTTAGCACACATTCTAAGGGCCCATTCAAGGTGAAGTGGCTTGTTCACACCCCTATAGTCATAGGACAAAAAGGGAGGGGGGACGGCTTAGGGCTTATTACAACAATCGGTAAGCCACTAAATCCAGTGTCCTTATTAAGACCATGATTTTTACTGTCTATCAAAGTTATGAATCAAACAACTACAACCCATACTTGATGGGGATCCCACCCTCAAAGAAATATTTCCTGAATGCCTTCTTCTGGCCTTCAAACAACCCCCAACCTCTCCAAGCTTATCACCAGAAGCAAGCTCCCCAGAGACCAGGACACACCAATTCAAAGTGGCACCAGAGCCTGCCAGAACAACGGATGCAAAACCTGCAGACATATCTCCACGGCAACAATGATCAACACCCCCTATAACACCCCCTTTAAGATCCCTGGTTCCTACACATGCCTATCACAACATGTGGTGTACCTCATCCAGTGCATTAATGTCCCAATAACAGTTATGTGGGTAAACCATACTCTCAAATGAACTCTCACAGGAAAATGATACAAGAGAAAAACACCATATCACCTCTGGGTAAACACTTTTCACAAAGCAATCTCTCTGTATGTGACCTATTGGTCCTCATCCTCAAAGGAAACCTGCACAACACTTTCAAAAGACAAGCCTGGGAGCTTAAATTCATAACTTTGCTAGACACTAAAAATCATGGTCTTAATAAAGATACTGGATTTATTACAACAATCTGTAAGCAACTAACCCCCTCTTCTTGTCCTATGACTCTTTCAACTTGAATGGTCCCTTAGAATATGTTCTAACTACTTATGCTAAACTAGCTGTTTGATTTTGTATTTAGCTTTAACACCCTTTCCCAGACCTGAGTAGCTCGATTGCTTGTCTCTCTCACCAACTGAAGTTGGTCCAGTAAAAGATATTACCTCACCCACCTTGTCTTTCTAATATTTGTTATTGTCCTTTCAAGGATCTCCACTCCCCTAGTGTCCATTCAGTATGAACCCCTCCTATTTTAACCCCTTTTTCCAAAACCCCTGCAGTTGCAGAATTCTTCCTTAGTATAAGTCATTCAGTGCTTTGAAGGAATAAACAAATCTCCTCTTTTCCTAGAGAAGTGGACATTTCAAGATAAACAGACCATTTTAACATTGTAACAACAATGCTTCACCAAGAATGCAGAGATTGATAGTTTCTCAAAAAATTAAAAGTATTTTAAGACATATTTGGTTAACGAAATATCTCAGGTTTCCTACCCAGCCTCAACAGTTGGCTTTTGCTGTACTAACCACTGCTGTTAAATTACATATTGCACACTCCACTTATGATGGTCATGGTTATAATGGACAATTGGTTGTAGCGGACAAAAACAGATCTCCCAAACCAAGCATATTAAATTCAAGACATTCCTCTCTGGCTATAACAGACAACGTTTGGCCACAGATGACAATTTCTGGGCTTTTTTTGAACACTGTGAGTGGATTGAATAGCAGGGAGAGCTGGTGAGGAAAGTCACAGGAATATTGTATTTTAAAAACATAGAATCCTTTATTGGGCTGGTTTTGGAAGTTTTGTCATTCTGGCACTCTTAATCAGCCTGACACACTACTGTATACCAGACTGGTACGGCCCTCTCTGCAATCCCCCCTACTTTTGTGCTAGAAAAGAGCCCAAATGGGAAGTAATGCCACAGGGAGTGTGAGAGTGTGTCTCTGGGTCACAATTTCTTCCCCTGGCTCCTCCTGAGGTGACATAACTTCAGACTGCCCCATGTACCAGGGCAGTGTCCAAAGGCTCAATCTAGTCCTAAATGACATCATTTTTAAATGTACCTGTCTAAAGTTCAATTCCTGTTTTTATTTACACTTGCTGTTTTTATACCTGGTTATAAAATGCAACAATTCTAACTGAAAGATGAGTTTGCAATTGCCAGGAACGTGAAATAATTATTCTTTGCAGCAAAAGCTGGGGAATTTTTTCAGACAACAGTTTATTTGCCAAAAAATGCAGTTTCAGATCAATTGAAACTATTCATGAATTCCATGAATGATTTTGGTTGGAAAAAAAAGAAGAAGAAAATTGAGAAAGTCAATTTTGACTTTTTGTTTTTGAAATGACATTTCATCTAGAAATTTAGCTAGATTTATTTCAAAAAACAAAAGCAACATCTTTTTGCAGATTGATAGAGCATCGACAATGCTAGATCTGCGAAGTCCTTACACATTTTGAATTTGTGGACTGAAACTGTCTGGATGCTGTGAAGGGATGGTGAGTAGGACAGGGGTATTGTATCCTCTTGTTCCCACACACATCCATTTAAGCACAAACATTACATGTTCTAGAACAGTGATTTTCAACCTTTTTTTCATTTGCAGACCCCTAAAAAATTTCAAATGGAAGTGCTTACCTCTGGAAATTTTAGACATAGTCTGCAGTCCCTGAGGGGTTCATGGACCACAGGTTGAAAACCACTGCTTTAGGCTATTTAGACTATTAGCCATTCAAACCACAGCTTTGACTTCCTAATATCCGTAAAGCACCTATTACTCTCTAGGTATACAAACAATTAAAATACATGAATAATATAAGGCAATTTTCTTATTGCCTTGCAGCCATGACACTTTCTAGTGAAATAATAAAGACTTATTTGGGGATTTGTTTTAGAACTGATGCCTTATTCCAAAGAAGGGTAAAATAGAGTGATTTTTATATCCAATCAAAGGCCTGATCCTACTTCCATGGAAGTCAATGGCTAAATTCCTATTGATTTCGGAGGGTGCATGATCGTCCCCCAAATGAATTTTGAACTAAAATTGGGCAATTTATTCTTAATAAAAAGAAAGTAAAATTTCTGATCAGGTCTGGTTCTGTATACAGCTGCTGATGGAGAAGAGTAACAGACAGAACTGAGCTTCAGCAATCAATGTTAAATAATAAAAAATTAAAAGGGAGAGCTATTCTGTCAATACTACTCCTGTCACAAAGGGAATGCTTGTTTTATATTGATTAGCTCCTGTTAAATAATGTATTACTGCTTCACAACCATGTAGGCTCTCACAGGGTTATTTACTGCAAGCAGCGGCAGTACAGAACTGCCTTTAGTGAACCACCAAATCAATACTGTATCTGTAAACAAGCTTGCAAATGCAGTCCCACAGCTCACCATCAAGTCTGCTGCTGCTCCATTAAGCAGAGTAGTGTGAACTAAGGCAGGTTGTAACATTCTGTATATCTTCTTCACCACTCTTCCAGACAACAATAAGCTGCTGGAGATGTTAAATTAGACTCCATTCAAGAAATGACTGTCTTGGTGCATTTCTACCTACTGTTTACAAATCTATGAGAAAAGGTTCCACTAATCATATAAGCCACTTACAACATACTGTATTTCTATTTTAGGACAGCAAATTAGCAGTTTCCCCTTGTTCAATCACCAAAGTTAGCCATTTATTTGTGAAGCTGAAAAACGTGTTTAAAACCAGGGCACTCAGAACTTAGGAACAGTGGATGTGGAATCACTTACCCATCACCCCATCCCCCCAAACCAGAGAAACCCAGGATGATTGCCACCATGACATTGTTCGCTCTGCTTTTGTGTTATTCCTGCCCCCCCCCCCCCGTGTCTATCTTGTTTATTTAGATTATAAGATCTTCAGGGCAGGAACTATCTATTACTATGTCTGTAAAGTACCTAGAAAATGCGGCCCCATTCTTGGTTGGCCCTTATACACTCACATAATAAACGTATATTAATAATCTCCTCAAACAGGCCCTTTGGAATTTCCTTTGGAAGGCTGGACTGCTCAAACGAGTGTAAGGGAATTAGATGTCCAACTCCAATTGAAATTCAGTGGAAATTGGACATTTGGGACCTAGATTCTCAAAAGAATATAGGCTCCTAACTTTCATTTGGTAAGATCTGGGCTAAACTCCTCTAAAAGTTTTAGCCTGAGGCAGTGTGGGACTGGCCAAGTGAAATACCTCACACCACTTTTGAAAGGACTGAGCCTTATTTTTCCATTTTTTGGTGGTAATCTGAGGGCCTATCAGGACCATGGTATGATTCCACTGAGCCAAATTTCCTGACTTGGATGAGTTTTGAGTCTTTTCCCATAACAGTGTCTTTTATTTTTCCTCTGATGGGATCATTTGGTTCATGCACGACAGGAGTGTAACTGTTTGTTGTCACCACTTGCATACTAAGCATATGATGAATTGTGCTCCGTTTTATGATACAAGACTTGATCCTGCAAGGTGCTGAGTGCTGTCGACTCCCCCTGAGCTTCACAGAAGTAAATGGAATTTGAGAGCCCTCAGCACTTTGCTGGATAGCATAAAAGATAAATATAAATAAAGAACAAATGGTGATGTACAGATTAACTCATATGATAACATTACAGCCAAATTGGGCTGGTTTGATGATGTGTAATTTGTTAATGTATGTAAATAGTTGCATTTAATCTTTAGGTCCAAAGAAAATTCATCTGTAAAGTCTTAGGTGAGTGTTTTTATTGTAGTCTGTGTCCTCTGTCTGCCAGCTGAAAATAATAATCACCAATTACAATATGTGGCTCCATGCAAGCCAGAGACATGGAACGTACAGGATAAGCTAGATGATGTGCTATAATTAGTAACAATTGGAAATGCAGAAGAATGCTGAAAAGAATTATTTCATGTTACTTTTGAATCACACCAAATGGAAAAGAGCATGCGGTAAACTATGCTATCAGACCTGAATCTTCAGTCCTGCTGAAAATCTAGGCAGGGCACCAGGTCGCTTTGCAAGGTTCCAATGATAACCCTTCAAAGGAAGATAGCTGGCAGTGGCATACAGAACATTTCATCGAAAAAGCATGTTGGTTCAGGATGGGAGTGGCTCCAAGTTGGGAATGGCTAAAATGGCTTTTGATAAATCTATTCTGTAGCTTATGTGACATGAGTTAATGATCTCACTACGGGCTGGTGTTCACATGACAGAAACCACCATCTGTCAGTCTTTGGGGAGAGTGAGCATGGAACTGAATTACCTTTTTTCTTTTCGAAGTGATCTCTTCTGAAAGGGTTAATATAATAGAGAGGGAAGTGTGTATAGAAAATGCTGTCCAGGCTGGGTGACCAGAAGACCTTGGTCCCAAGCCTTGTCCATATGGCTCTTGTAGGAGCTATAGAAGAAATCCCTCCTTTGTAAAGGGAAAAGGGTTTTACTCCTTATACTTCCTGATCCCAAAAGCAAAATGGGGTCTCTGGCCTATTTTATATCTAAGGGAGTAAACCAAGTTCCTCTAAAATCAAAATTCCATATGGTCATTTTAGCTTCCATTATTCCTTCCCTGGAGCCAGGGGACTGGTATAGTGCTCTTGAATTAAAGGACACTTACTTCCATATGGTGATTCATCAGAACAACATAATATTTCCGAGATATACTATCAGTGGTCACCATTGTCAGTTCACTGTGCTCTTTTCTGGTCTCTCAGCTGCCCTGCAGGTATTTACAAAACATGTGGTGCTGGCAACAGCATTCCTTCAGAGGTCCGGGTCCATGTTTTTTCTTACCAGGATGACTGGCTGACAATGGGTCCATCCACATCACAGGTGTTGTCCAGCATAAGTGTAATCTGATCCTCCAGCTTCGATGCACTCAGCCTGTTGATCAAGTCAATCCTGTCTCCAATATAGAAAATAGAATTTATTGGAGCGGTTCTGATTCGACAATGGCCAGGGTCTTACTACAGCAGGCAGGTGCATGCAATGCAAAATCTTAAAGACTTGAAGATGTATTCCATCACCATGATCATAAACTGTTTAAGGCTGCTGAGACACATGGCAGCATACACTTGTGTAGTCCAGGCTATGTTTCAGATTCCTTCAAAGCTGGAGGGCCAAAGTGTATTCACCAAGGAGCACCACATAGGTATATGGTAGTACACATACCAAATCTGATCTTATCCTCCCTAGATTGGTGGACATGATCAACGTCAGCAAGGGAGTTCCCTTCACTCTGCCTCAACAGTCGCTTACCTTAGTCATGGATGCCTCAGACATGAGTTGCGGGGGCTTATCTGGGACACCTGCAGATGCGAAGTCTCTGGTCTATCCAAGATCTCAGTCGACACATAAACATCAGGGACTTGTGAACTAACTGATTAGCTTGCATAGCATTCCTTCCTCACATCAAGGGAAGGGTGTGTTGGTGCTGATTGACAGTACGATAGCCGTGTTTTATGTCAACAAACAGGGAGGGGATCCAGGTCCTCACTTCTCTGCCAGGCAGCAATCCTGCTCTGGGACTTCTGCATCAGCAGCTCTATACTTCTGAAAGTGGCTACCTCCCAGAGACTCTGAATATGCTGGCAGATCACCTCAGCAGGTTGTTTATCAATCACCACAAGTAGTCCCTTCGCCCAGACATAACAAGGTCAATTTTCAAGTTCTTGGGAATTCCCTAAATGGATCCGTTTGCAACAAAAGGCAACAGAAAATGTCACCAGTTTTGTTCCTGTGCGGGCCACAGTTTGCGTTCATCCATAGATGCTTTGCTGCTGCCATGGGCAGAGGTTCTGCGATACGCTTTCCCCTCACGATAACTCTCTGCATAGAGTTCTATGCAAGGTCAAACAGGTCAAGGCCCACCTTATACTGATTGCCCCGCATGGGCCCATCATCATTAGTTTTCACAGCTCTTGGACCTCTCAATCAGTCCCCCACCGTCACTCATGTTTCACACAGACATGGTTTCATAGAATTGTGGCTACCTCCTGCACTCTAATCTTCAGGCCCTTCACCTGGTGGCCTGGGAGGCTTCATAGGTAACATTGGTGGAGGAGTCCTGCTTTAGAGACTTTCAGGAATTGCTGCTGAATATAGTAGAAAACCATCAATTAAAACTACTTACCTGGCTAAATGGAAGAGGTTTTCCATCTGGTTGAGACTCAAAGGGGTTTCTGTATTTTTTTGCTTCTAACAGCATGTGCTGGATTATCTTCTATCTCTGAAACATCAAGGATTGGTGATTAGCTTGATCAGGGCACACCTACTGGATATATAGGCATTTCATCCGTCTGGGGATAACCACTTTCTCTTTTCTAACCTGATGACTGTAAGATTTTTAAAGGGTTTGGACAGATTATTTCCGAAGGTCAGACCCCTGTTCCACCATGGAGCCTGAGTCTAGTCTTAACAAAGATGATGGTCCCCACTTTGGGCCTCAAGTGCCCTGCTCTCTGTTGAACGTTTTCATGAAGGTAACATTTTTAGTAGCCATTTCATTGGCCAGGAGAGTGGGGAAGTTGAGGGTTCTAATATCAGATCCTCCATATACAGTTTTCTATGCTGACAATGTCTACCTTTATCCTCACCCAAGTTTTCTTACAAAAGTTTTCATTTTAACCAAGCACTTTTCTTACTGACCTTTCCCCAAAAATCTCATGGTAATAAGGAGGAGAGACTGTACACTCTGGCTGTTAGAAGACTATTCATTTTTTAGCTGGACCAGACTAAAAACCTTTCATGTCTTTGACTCAATTGTTCATTGCGTTTGCAGAATGAATGAATGAATGAAGGACAGTCCCTTTTCCATGCAAAGGTTATCATCATGGATACCCCGTTGTATTCGCCTTTATTACCAGTTGGCTAATGTGATGCTTCCAGATAAATTGTTGGGTCATTCAACTAGTGATCTCTGTAGCTTTTATGGCTAACGTTCCCAGACTGATCATTTGCAAAGCAGTGACGTATGCTGGTTTTTCACTCCATGCATCTGAAGAAGTGGGTTTTTTACCCATGAAAGCTTATGCCCAAATAAATCTGTTAGTCTTTAAGATACCACTGGACTCCTCATTGTTTTAGTGACCTATGCTGTATCTCAGCAATCTAGAGGTAATGTTAAATTTGGACGAGTGGTCTTCCAGTCCCTGTTCAAATAGACTCTGAACCCAGTTGGGACTGCTTGTGAGTCACCTATAGTGGAATAGACACGTCCAATTACTCAAAGAAATAATTGTTCTTTGAGATGTGTTGCACGTGTCCATTCTGTGACCCACTCTTCTTCCCCTCTCTCATGGAGTCTTCTGGAAGGAAGAAACTGAGTGGGATCAGGAATGGATCTGCTCTTTATGCTTGTGCACTCTGCGTGAGGCACCAGAGAGTGCTCATGCTACCCCAGTGGGTACCACTAAGGGGAAGAACTCTCTGACAACTCTGCGCTGGAGCACACACATACCTACAGTGGAATGGACATGTCCAACATATCTCGAAGAGCAACAGTTATGGAGCGGTTAATAATAATTTCTTCCTGCTAGGAAAAACAAAACAGGCAAGGGGGAGGTCTAAACTTAGTTTTGATTCATTGCCTGTTGATAACAAGGGTCACAATCTAAGTACCAGTTCACAGGAGTGCAGGTTGCACACACATCACCATCACGGCAATGGACTGGACCTGGTTTACCTTCTTGAATTGTTTGGCAACCTGTAATTTACTTTCAAACACAAAAAACATGCTATACATATCCAGCAAAATGATCCTTGTGGCCTAATTACATAAAGCTCATATTTCAAAGATTCTGGGCTCATTTACATGAATAATTAGCTCATGGCAAGGTGGGGTGTGAATCTACCCTACACTAGCCTTCTGCGGACTATCTGTCCAAGTGGACCTGCTGATATGAAATGGGACTAGATCAAAGTGCATTAATGGACTGTTAATGCACATCAGCAGGATCTACCCAGACAGGTAGTTCACTGCAGGCTAGTGTGGGGGTACATTCACACCCCAGCTTGCCATCAACTAAGTGTTCATTGAGGCAAGCCCTCTATCTCTTGTAGGGTTTTATAGTGCCACTGATCACTGTCGTATCTCAGTGCACAATTAAGAAATATTGTTGCTACAAGTGTATTACTTATATTGTCATAAGGCTTAGGATATAGGACCCTGTTATGCTAGGTGCTATACAATCACAGAATGGGGTTTTAGATATATGGCCTTACATCGGAAAATGTTTGATGTGAAGTGCCTGTTCCAAAAGTATGTCTCAACTTTTGGGTGTAGAATGAAGTAAATTATTCATTTCCAATATATATTTAAATCCTCTTCAGAGCAAAACTGTTCAGCATGCCATACATATTAATATCAGTGGATCGTGTGAACCTAAAATAATACATTACAACAACCTCATGTTTTTTAGGCAAACGGTTCTTGAACAATATGTCAGCTTTTGCTTTGCCCTGAAAAGTTCCTTTTCCCACCAGCTTTATTGTGCGTGCCAAGAGTGACTTAACCTTGAAATTATTTGTTACATTTGAACAATGAACAAACCAAGCTTATTAAGAAAAAGGGTGGGCAGTCTCATTAGCAAGGAGTAGAGCAGAGGACTCTGACATCTGCATTGAATGGTGCACCCACAGGTTTTTGCAGTCTCTGGGAAACATCTCTTGTCTGTGAAGTAATACAGAATTTTTGCTATATCCTAAAGGGTTATATTAGCTGTGCTAGTAGGAACGTGCTGTATTCTCTGCCTTAAAATAGGGCTCTGTGTTAAGATGTTAATCTACTGACTGAAACATGGTTGATGCATTTAAAATATGTCAAGAATTCTTGGGGATGTATCTCACCAGTGGTTTATAAGCAGAACTTTCCCTGTGGAAATCAATGGGGACTTGTGCTTAAAAATCAGTGGCCATTAGAAAATAAGTCTAATGTGAAGAACATTTATTCATTTGAAAATGTATTCACTTCTAAGGTTCCCATCCTCTTTGCAATGGGGGAATAAATCTTTTCAGGGGAAGAAAAGGAGGAGAAATCTTTGCTGTAGGTTTCAGAAACAATTGGTAGATGTGAGAGCTGTTCAGAGATTCAGTCAACATATTCCTCTGCAGGTGCTTACATTTTGTCAGGTACACTTATCCAGAGAACAAAACACAAAAAGAAACCATGATGGTTCAGCCAGGGTCGGGGAAGGTCTGAAGGTTAACCTAAGTCAAAGATCCTAGGGGAAATTATTCTTAATGAAAACTGACATATGCCCTTGCCAGCTTTAGAAACAACTGACATAGTTTTCATCTGAACCTAGAACTATTTAAGATATGCAACAAACTCTGAACAAATTTTGTACTGAGTGACATTAACCACATAAGAAAACTGAATTCACACACTTTTTTCCCCTACTGACTCCATTACCTAGTAGAACTGGTTTACACTTATCTGACCCTGACATCACCCTTTCTTTCAAAACCATTATATTTAATGAATTTTCATGAGGAGCAATCTGGGGTGTTGCCTAGTCATTGTCTCAAATGAAGCCAGAACCTCTACTGTAATAATGAATATGTATCTATACTATCTCCATACTGTTTATGAGCCCCAGTGCAATCTTCCTTTGGAAACAATAAAGGGTGTGTCCACATGAGTTCCAAATGGCACTCCTTGCACACTCAGAACTCCTAGTGAAGTTAATGAGAGGCTTTGGGTGTGGAAGGAATACAGCATCTAGTTGTATATTGTTGGAGAATGCATAAAAGCAAGGGATTGGCACAAGTTTGTTAGTCTAAAGTGGAGCTCTCCATTGCAGACATATTTACCATTGACGTACACACTAAGCAACAGGGCTGAGAGTTTCAAAGTTACCTGGGGAGTGGGGGTTGCTGGTCACACAGTTCCTGCTAAAGTGCATAGGAACTGGGCATCTAACTGCTCAAAGAAGCTTTGGAAATCTCAGACCAAATGTATTAGGCCAGATTTATTCCTGGTGTGAGGCCATTGAACTCAGAGGGCACATTTAACTCATTCATTTTCATAAAGGGCTGTAATGGGGAAGAGTGTTTCAGTTGCATTTGACAGTTGACCCGAGTTATGCCACCTGGCACCAGCTGAGGATGTGGCCCTTCAGACCTCAGAATCAGCACGAGGCAGGTTACAGACCACGACATCTTTATTTAAATAATGGGGAGTTAGGAGGCTTTACAGAGCTGTATGTCATGAACCTTGTTATGGAAGAACATGCTCCATGTTAATAACAGGTATTGATATTATTTTTATTTGAGAGGCCTCAACTAAGATCAGGGCCCCGTTGTGCTACATATTTTCCCCAAACCAAAGAGTTTAGAGTCTAAATAGACATGTCACTGAAAGGGTGAGAGAAAGGAGGAGTTAGCAGCATTTCACACCTAGGGAACTGAGGTACAGAAAAGTTAAATCAATTGCCCAAGGTCACAGAGGAAGTCTGTGGCAGAACTAGGAACTGAATTCAGGTCTCCTCCTGAAGCCCATTCGAATACCTTATTCACAAAATTATTTTCTTTTTGATGTAGCCCAATACTGAATTTCTAATCTCTCTTGGTAGATGCCCCAGACTGTCATGAAAACGGAACATACTTTAATATACGATCTAACACTAGTGTAAAATAATTTAATGGCATGTGATGTATTTTCTACATAGTTACATGCTGTTGGTGTATAACTGAATTAATGTGTATATTCCCTTAAACCAGTTCCAGCTGGTGAATAAACAGGTCTTAGAATATTTCTATTACTTGGAATGGAACTTACCATAGAAAATTGTCTGGAGATGTATATGTATATGTGTGTTATGTATTTACAGAAGAGACGATTAATGGAATGTGATTAATACAGAACTTTGACTCCTTATTTAATCTTATTTAAACCTCAACATCATTTTATATTCTTCAAAGAACTGGCAATAACTCCAATAACTACTTAGAATATCATTTGTTCTGAGCAGCCGGCATGATATATGCTGACATTTGTACTAACAATCAAACCATTTGCCTATTCAGTATCAGCAGCCTAGTGGAGCAGTCTGAGCATGTTCCGAACCTTCCAATGAAGGAAGTATTCAGGATAGGTCTATCATTTATTTACCTGATGTTCATACCACTGACTGGTGGGTGGATACATAGCTCAGCTCCAAGTCTCCAGCACTAATTGGTGTAAGAGCGGATGAATTCTCAGCATTCCATTCTTATATGCATTGAGGC